AAATATCAGAATCATTAAGGTAACATCTTCTGGGGACTTCATTCATGTGTTCAAAAACCTTAGTATGCGCAAAATTAGCGGAGGATTCTGGAGATCGGCGTCTTTGATCTATCCCAGAAAACTGCTTTCCTAGGCTTATGCCAAAGCTTTGGAAATTTTAACAAACATTTTAGGAATTTCTGATGTTCACAGTCCAAAGACCACACTTTGAGGAACCTTATATTATAGAATGCTCCCTCCCAGTATGACAAATATGTTTCAGCCTGAAAAAGTTAGACGTTTTGTTGCTGTTTCTTTATTGTCATAAAATACATTCGTAAAGTCAACTGTAGCTTTGCCAGGCAGTGTCTTAACATCTAACACTCCTTCAGAAATGTGGGAATGAACTCTGATCCAGCCCATAGTTCTTTGAAATAGAATTAAGAATTAAATTTTTAAATTAAGATTCACCTTTTGTTTACCAGGCAGCTTTTTCTTCTAACAATATTGCTGAGCTTCACGTACAAAAACAAAATTCTATTAACCTCTGAGTAGAACCATAAACAGAAATAATAATAGCTTTCTGCAGAGAAATGAAGAGAGAATGAAAAAGCACCTTTTGGGGGCTTTCCTGGTGGTGCAGTGGTTGAGCGTCCGCCTGCCAATGCAGGGGACACAGGTTCGTGCCCTGGTCCGGGAAGATCCCACATGCCGCGGAGTGGCTGGGCCCGTGAGCCATGGCCGCTGAGCCTGCGCGTCTGGAGCCTGTGCTCCGCAACGGGAGAGGCCACGACAGTGAGAGGCCCGTGTACCTCAAAAAAAAAAAAAAAAATCTCCTTTTGGAGGCTGGAATAACAAGGGCATTAACCAATATATTTTCCTGTATGTTTAGACATTAAATCAGTCGGAAAAAAAGCTGGAAACCACAGGTTAAAATAGAAGAGGCTAGAAACCCACAGGGAAATGAAAGTGTCAGAAGTTTTCAACAATGTTAAGTAAACAATAATGGCACAGGAGCCTCTGTAAGAGACTGCAAAGTGGCACTGTGAATGTGGGCATGGATTTCTGTATAGCTATAGTCATAGCTATCTGTGTGGTTCTAGATTTTATGAGCCACTGCATCAGTCCCAGAGGGGAAGCAAAACCTCCATTGCAGAGACCAGGGCTCAACACAGGTCTTTGCAGATGTGCTGGGCACACTTTATTCAAATTTGAATTTAATTTATCTTAAATATGATTTATTAAATATATTCTCTCTAAATTTAAATAAGCACTTCCAAGGGCTGGCTAAGTGTTGCACTGCTGCTACACAGTGTGCTTACACTCTTCTAAGAGCTTTGGACTGTGAACTCCTTTATAGCAGCCTTCTGAGGTAGTATAATTATTATTCCCATTTTACAGATGAGGAAACTGAGGAACAGAAAGATTAGATAAGTCACCTACAGTCATACAGTTAGCATGTGGCAGATGGTGTTTGGAGTTGTGTTTAAACACTTGGTTTAGGATCACTGAATGAGCTCATTCATCTCCTCAACTAGATTCCTGGACTAGATTCCTGGGGGAAAGAGGGTCTGATGAAAACTATGGGTTTTGCTACCCTTCCTATCTCCCCATTCCCCTTTCTTTTTTTGCTTGGTGCCTCTAGTCTTCCTAAGACTTAACTACTTAGTTTGCACTATCCCAGTGGGCAGTGGAAGGGATATTTTGCAAACATTTGGGGTCATGTATGTGATTTGTCTGTTCATGGGCCCTGGGGAGGGTTATGGTACCCAGGACCACAGTGCTTAAGGACTCCTCAGCCTCAGCTCCTAGAACTGGCATCTTCTCAGCAGGAACCACAAAGTCAATTGCCGCAACAATTTCAGGACGTCACAGAGGCTTATGTCACTGCCTGCCACTTACAAGGAGCTTCCTAAATAAGATTCTCCATCCAGAGAACGAGTGAGGTCGTGACACTCCCCTGGCATGGAGGCCATTGGGCTCGGCGGAGAATCTGCATAAATCTTTGCCCCCCCCTCCATTCCTACCATCCTTGTCCATCTCCTCATGTTTCGTGTGAATGACTACGGATCTTCCCGACTGCTTCCACTTCCCCAGCTCCCAACCCACTCTTCAAACAGTAGTCAGAATGGTCTTTTTTGAAACAAATTTGTGTCACTCCATTGACTGACCTCCTTCAGTGACACCACATTGCCCTCACTACTTTTTTTTCTCCTCTCCTTTTATAGGAGGGAGAGGAATCAGCTGGAGATTGGGTTAAAGATGCAGGTTCCTGGTCCCACCCCAGACTTATGAAATCCGTCTGTGGGAGTTGGGCCTATATGTCTGCATTTGAAACATGTTCACCAGGGGCTGCAAGTGCACACATTTCGGGAGAAATACTAACCTATGGGATAAAGTTCCGTTTCCTTAACATGCTATATAAGGTGACTCTATAAAAAGAATGCACATTTCTGGGCACCTCTCCAACCTCATCTCCTGTCTACTGTTGCAGCAAGAATGACAGTTTGGGCTTCCTGAATTCCCACACTGTTTTTCATTTCTTTTGTCTTTCTTGAGGGTTGTTGCCTACAGTAGGGCAGGTTGCGCACTGCACAAATCTAAGGGTTACCATTCACATTACAATCTGAGTGATGGAGGCCCTGCCTTTGTTCATGTTTCCAGTGCCTGGAATGCCCTTTCGCTTCCTCTCTTCCTGACTTAGGTCCAATTATCTTATAAAGAAACAGCTCTGGCATCATCACCTTTCTGGAACCCAGGAACATTTGCATAGCTCTATTATCACATTTATCACATTATATTTCCATGTTCTTTTCCTGCATCTGTATCTTCCAGCAGATATGAGTGATTTGAGGACAGGGTCTTATTTATCCATTTACCCTCACTGTCAAGTACAGTACTAGACCCAAAGTGGACACTCAACTAAGGCTTATAGAATTAATGAATAAAATTGGATGATTAGACCAGCATTCATTCATTCATTCAAAAACACTTGTGTTCCTTAGAAAGCTGACCCTATAGGTTTACATAAAAATGTAATTTTTACAATTTTTTGTAATTTTTGCATTTTTAATGCAATTTAAAAGACATATTATATATTTTAAGTAGATTTCTGTATTTTTAGGATGTTTTAGCAGCAAGTAAGGAAACTAAAAATGGTTGGAAAAACAATGACACTTATTAAGTCTCATAGGAGGATGTCCTAAGGCAGGACCCACTTCAGGTCTAGTCCAGCAGTTTAACAAGGCCATCCTGGATTCAGCTTCCCCTCTGCCATCTGTCCATCCACAGCATCAACTGATTCCCCAGGGAGTGAGAGGATGGCTGACTTGTTCATGTCTGGTGAAGCCACAGCCTCCAGCAAACACATCTTGTAGCCAGATTGGGTCACATGTTCATTCCAACACCAATTGCTGGCAAAGGGGATGAGAAAACCTTATGACTGAACAGGCCGCTTTAAAAACTAAGGTCAGTTCCCCAATTCTCCAAATGCATTTTACTCCTCCGTGGACGAGGATGGATCGGGTATTTGGGAGACACGGCAATGCGTGCAACAAATACCCAGATGGCCCCGCTGTGCTTTGGCGATCAGGCCGCACTGCCCGTGGCAGCGTTTCCTCTAGGAGACCCCAGGAGACACCCTGAGGAGGGCCTTCCTTTAAAACCCAGGCCACATCAGGCATCTCAGCTCTTCCTCTTTTTTTCGTCTTGTTTTCAAGTCAGGGGGAATTAGTTCGGCAAATCCACCTGACAAACAATTCCAAGAATCAGAGATTTATCAGCAAGGCCGAATCACCATCTTCTCACTTGAGGCCTCTCGACACAGGCAAGGTCCCCTGGGTGTGATGAGAGCCGGTCCATGGCTGCCGAGTGAGGGGTGCGCAGAGGAAGCGGGAAAGACGCCTTTGTGATAGCCCAGAGCCGAGTGTCATTGTGGAGGCCATCACCACCTGCTGCGAATAATTTGCTCCCCGATTAGGGGCCGTGAGACGTTCCTGGAATCAGTGTGATGTGAGGATGCCTGCAGCAGGGTGAGTAAAGCCGGCAGGAATTCAGCCGCCGAATGGAAGCACAGAGCAGCGCCAGCTCTGGATTGCAGCCCTCGGCTCTGGTTTCCCCCTTTCTCTTCGAGGATTAAAGCAGGGAAAAGATTCATTGTTAGATGAGAATGCATTTTCCTCGCCCCAGTTTGTCTTCAAAACTCTGCCGTCCGTGTGAATTCAACTTTACGTCAACCCAGCTGACCAAGCTGCAAAGCTCCTTAGTTTATGAGATTAACCACGCCACACGTTTTGGATTTTTGTAGACTTATTTGACTCCTTCGACAGTAATCATTTCCCATAGTTCCCATTCAATTTCTTTTAACTCACAATAAGAGAGAGTGAAAAAAGATGGAATATTGCATACCACTTCCCTATCTTGTCTCTCTTTTCTTCTTGTTATGAGTGTTCAAGAGTTTAAGTACCAAAGAGGAAAGACACCTTAATATAAATAGATAAATGGTATTTTAATGCTTTCCGTGTGCCATGTTCCGTTAGAACTGAGAACTTTTAGGAGCTGATTTTATATATTCATATACAATACATATATGAACTATAATCACATATATATTAAGTGACATATATATATCATTTATTCCTCACAACAACCGTATGATATAAACAGAATTCTTTTTTTTTTTATAATGATGATGACTCTAGTTTTGACAATTAATGTATTATTTATTTATTTATTTTTGGCTGTGTTGGGTCCTCATTTCTATGCGAGGGCTTTCTCTAGTTGCGGCAAGAGGGGGTCACTCTTCATCACAATGCGCGGGCCTCTCACTATCGCGGCCTCTCTTGTTGCGGAGCGAAGGCTCCAGACGCGCAGGCTCAGTAGTTGTGGCTCACGGGCTCTAGAGCGCAGGCTCAGTAGTTGTGGTGCATGTGCTTAGCTGCTCCGCAGCATGTGGGATCTTCCCAGACCAGGGCTCGAACCCGTTTCCCCTGCATTGGCAGGCAGATTCTCAACCACTGCACCACTAGGGAAGCCCTAAACATAATTCTTACATTTTTAATATCCCTCATTTACTGATGAGGAAACCTGGGACAGAGAGGTGACTTTTCTTGTCCATCCCAGGCTAGAAAGTGACAGAGACGGGAAGCAGCCCCATGGGGCCTGGTCTCTGAGCCCGTGCTCTCAGAACAACATGACACTGTGCCACCGTTTTGGCCTTCAGCAGCCAACTTCTGTCACTTCTCCCAGGAGTGCTGGCTTCATGCGGTTGGCCGCATGACCCCAAATGCTTCCACCCATCCTCCCTCCATCCCTGCATCCCGCCAGCTGCCCAGCAGTTCTTGCTGAGCACCTCCTCTTGTGAGACCATCTGCTAGGCACTGTGGATACAGGTAAACGAGACAGGGCTCTTATGAACCTTGTATTCCCCTGGCCAACCGAATGCCACCCTTCTTTCAATGTGCATTAAGCCTCCTCTTCCCCAAGTGAAACATTCCCAGTTCTCATAACACTCTTCCATCCTTGCTAAGGGCATGCTTGGGTTAAAGTACCGTTTTCTGTACCCTGAAGGCACCCAGAGAATACTCACGGTCCATGGAAAAATTAAATCTGTGATTAGATGAATAGCAAGATCTTCATTCTGAGAATGTCTAGTAGGTATGTCTAAAAATGTTCTATGGCAAAATGCACCAGGTTGAGGAATTCCACACAATCTTTTATCATCTTGATGAGGCAGAGATTTTACACATTCATCACGTGAGTTTTCATTTCCTTTAAAATATATTCCTTATGACAGAATTGAGATATACAGTACAATAAAAATGACGGTGACACATCAGTCCGCAGTCTCACAGCATTAGTTTGACCTTATGTTCATCTCTCCGTGTGTCAGGTAGGATTATTTGACAGGTTATTGCAAAGCACCTGTGGATACCTGGAAACGGGACACGAGAGCCTGAGGAGTCTGATTGTAATATTGCAGAAAATGTTCATGTCCTGAAGTCATTCCTCAAGCCTGTATTATTCTGCCCACGCTTTACCATCTTGGCCTCTTTTCCTGCCACCATCCTGCCTACTCCTTCCCTCCACTATTGTTTCATGCCTCTGTGACCTTGCTCAGCTTCTCCTTGCCTCCAGGCCCAGCCCTTCACCTGGTCAAGTTTGTTTTGTTTTTTTTTTTTTTTTTGCGGTACGCGAGCTGCGCAGGCTCAGCGGCCATGGCTCACGGGCCCAGCCGCTCCGCGGCACGTGGGATCTTCCCGGACCGGGGCAGGAACCCGTGTCCCCTGCATTGGCAGGCGGACTCTCAACCACTGCGCCACCAGGGAAGCCCCACCTGGCCTATTTTTAAGTTATCCTTCCACACTCAGCTCAAGTCTTCACTGACCCGAAGGCTAATCTAGATGCTTCTCTTCTATGGCCCCTTAGCACCCCACGTTCTATTTTAGTGATTCTCTTACTGTCCTGTGGAGCCGCCCCACTATTCAATGAGATTCCTGACACCAAGGACCTCGGACCTCATCCTTTTCATCTCTGCATCTGACAGATGCTCAGCAGATGCTTCTTGATTATGAAAAGGGCCCCTGAGAAGCTCTCTCCCAGAATCAGGCTCACAGCCCTAGAATAGGACAAGCCTGCAGAAATGAGAACCACGGAGATTAAAATTCTCCGTAACTGGGTTCAAGAGAAGCTCTCTTCACATCATCTAAATATCAGTAACACAACTCTTCCCTCTTAGAACCCCTAGTCAGAGATATTGTTTCTGGCATCCATTTCTTCTTCTCCATCACCTTCTAACATGCAAACAGGCACCAGCACTCACTGTTGAAATGTCTGTACGTGGACCTTCAATGTCACACCTAGGACAGGCCCTGTCCCTAGAAATATTCTCCAGGTTTCTAGAACCTCACAACAAACCCGATCACATTACCCAAAGTATGTTTTTTTATTCCTTCTTTTTCTTACACTTTGCACAACTATCCTATCCCTCTAGACTCTGGGTTTTCTTTTTTAATCCTATTTTAAACAACCTTTTAATTTTAGAACAGTTTTAAACTTACAGAAAACTTATGAAGATAATAGAGAGTCCTCATATAGCCCCCCCACACCCCAATTCCCTTATTTTTAATCTCTTACGTTACATGGCATATTTGTCACCATTACATGGTATATTTGTCACAATTAATGGACCAATACTGATACATCATTATTAACTGAAGTCTCTACTTTATTCAGATTTCCTTAGTCTTCTTTTAACGTAATGCCCTTTTCCTGTGACCCGTACAGGACCCCATGCTGCACTTAGTCATCATGCCTCCCTATGCTCCTCTTGGTGGGACATTTTCTCACACTTATGTTTGTGTTGTTTTGTTTTCTTTTTGATGACCTTGAAAGTTTTGAGGAATACTAGTCCGGTATTTTGTAAAATTTGTTGTTTTTTCATGACCGTGGGTCTGGGAGAAGAAGGCCACAGAAGTAAAACGCCACTGTCATCCCATGACATCAAGGGTACATACTATCAACATGACTTCTCACTGATGATGTTAAATTTGGTCACCTGACCGAGGCAGTGTTTGTCAGGTTTCTCTATTGTGAAATGATGCCCCCCTCTCACACAATTCCATCAAGGTAGAAGAAAGTTACTATGTGCAGTGCACACTTAAGGAGTGGAAAGTTATGATCCACGTCTTTGAAGGTGCAGCATTAATATATATATATTTGGAATTCACATTTATGTCAGTATGAACCAATGGATATTTATTTTATGCTTTGGCTTATAATTCAATACTACTTAATTTTGTTTGCTCAAATTTTTCCAGATTTGACCACTGAGAGCTCTTTCTATTGGCTCTTGTGTCCCTTTGACATATCTCCAATATGTTTGGATTTTTTGAGTACTTCCTTACATTCTGACACTAAAAAAAAATATTCTAGGTTCATCTTGCATATTTCTTGCCCTAGGCTCAGCCATTTTTCCAAGGAGCTCTGGTCTGTTTACCCCTTCTTTCCTCCCTTCCTTCCTTCCTTTCCTTCCTTCCTTCCTTCCTTCCTTCCTTTTTTCTTTTCTTCCTTCCTTCCTTCCTTCCGTCCTTCCTTCCTTTCCTTCCTCCCTCCCTGCCTTCCTTCCTTCCTTCCTTCCTCCCTTCCTTCCTTCCTTCCTTTCCTTCCTCCCTTCCTTCCTTCCTTCCTTCATTCATTCCTTCCTTCCTTCCTTCCTTCTTTCCTTTCTTCCTTCCTTCCTTCCTTCCTTCCTTCCTAATAGTATTAGGAACAAAGATGTGGGCACTAGGTGCAATTCTTGTTTTTAATAGTTAAAACTCCTGCAACACATTAATTTACTTTGCAGATTAATTTGTTCTCAACTTTATAAGGGATCTTCGCTTTCTCTGGCCCTAATTCTGCTCAGTTTCATGTAGAACCTAGAAAGTTCAGTGATCCCCACTTGGACAGTAGAATTCTGGCCACACGTATTTTTGGTTGGGATGCTCTTGTTGCAATTCAGACATCAATCAGATTTTGAATACATTTTCTAACATATGAGGATGTCAGGTAATGTGACCAACTCATTAACTTTTCTATGTTCTGGATTTCTGGTCATTCTAAGGTTAGGAAGTTATGTAACCGTCTTGTAATCCAAGGGGGCATTTTTGTGGGATCTTAAACTTCATATCTTCTGAAGCACTAACATCTCTTCTTTCCTCTCTGGACCTGACCCTGGTAATACATTTCACTGTGAATACATAAGCCAGGTACACAGAGACACCAGTTGTATCAATTATACAAAAGAAATCTGTTAGCCTGAGAGGTTTGCAACAACCTGAAAAACAGACGTGAAAGGAAGGCGTAGGCACAGCCTACATTTTAAAGCCACTAACCATTGTTTATCCCAACACACTGTTTCAGAGACACCACTGGTTTAAAGGAGGTTCGAACAATCATTTGGAACATATTTTTTTTCTGTCAGTTTACACAAACTGCAATACGTCATATAAATGCTTTTCTCAAAGTGATTGAAAGCATGATTTACATCAAACCTATAAGTTGCTTTATGATAGAGATGTTCCTGGGTTATTGGTGACGTATTCCTGAGTTCTGAGCATGGGCTGTTTACTCAGCTTGTGCCAACGCTGTCTCAGAGCACTGGTGAGCTCATACGTTCAGGCTAATTTAAATGGAATGAGTGGGGAGGTCATGATCTAAATCCAATCAGCAGGCTGGTGGGAGTTCAGTGACTGTTCTGACACATGGCATTTAGAGCCCAGAGAAAATATAGCAATTTCTGGTCTGGTTTCTGTTATTCTCTAGCCCTGTAAGCACTGGGTAAACACAGCATAACAAACTTGAAGCAAAACAGATCAAATAAATTGTATATGGCTATTACATTGAAAAGCAACTCTGTGGGAGGTCTGTCTAAATACCGAAGGAAGTAAATCACATTCGTGGACCGTCCTGACCTCCCCTTTTAATTCTTGGTGGTGCATTTCTTAAGTATGAAACCCAGTTTAATAGATGACTGTGTTGTTTAATAGAATATAAGCATTTTGTCAAGGCTTGAGAGTTATTTTCAAAGTAAGGAACATTGAATTTTGAAGCCAAGTGAGTTTGTTTCTCTTTTTCTATCTGGTTTTTAGTATGCTCAGGCAGGGGCACTTTGGGATGACTTATAAAAACGGAAGAAATCCATGCCAGCCTTAAGAAGTGTACCATGATGCATCAACACAAATTGGTTTTGGAAGCTGTAAATCCTTGGGAAAAATTATCCTAAGTGAAGCTTCTATAACTATTGACTCATTTTATCCATGGAAGGATTTGCTTCCTAACAAAGGTGTAATGTCGTTAAAAGCCCAGTGGTCTCATAAGTTGATGAAAACAAAGTCATTATGGAAAGCGTCATTCATGAGAGACTCTGTAATGCTGTGGAAGCAATGTTGCCCTTAGATTCAAAAGTTTTGTGTCCCTATTCATCAATGTCTTTGCTCTGTGTCCTTGACTTGTCATTTTACCTCTTTGAACCCATCCAGCTGCTCAGTTAAGTTCAGTCTCAGAGAGTCTTCATGCTCAAGTTTGCAGTCAAGAAACCTTTTTGACGCCATAATTAGAGGCGCTGTTGGGGCCAGGTGGCTCAGCTAATACTCTCCAGACTCAATGGAGAAAATATTATAAACCACATGTCAACATATGAATTTACAAAGAGAAAAATGAATACTGAGGGCACCGGAATACATAGGTTTTCTGGCCAGTGCACTCTCTCTGTACTGACATCTCCAGTGACTCCAAATTATAGTCAGAAAACTGAGCAGTGATTATGGACCCAGAGCCAAGAGTCTTGAGATAGTCTTGAGAATACTTCCTCCTGTTCATGGTGAAACCTGGCAACTCATCTCTACTCAGAGAATGAAAGGCTTCTCTAGTGATCAGATGTTTAGTCTCTCCTAAATCCATATTCTTTCCTCTCTCTCTCTCTCACGATGCTGAGTAACACTCAAGTTTTTTGTGTGTGGTTTTTTTTTTTTAGAGGACAGTAAATCTAAAAAGAGAAAGAGGAAAAAGAGACAGAGATCATAAACTACAAAGCACTGTTCATTGTGTGTCAATTACTCTAGCTAGTATCAGTTTATCTTGGGTTAATTTCATACTCCTGCATGACTCACAGGTTAACTAGAACAGTATTTGTTAAACTTGGCTGCACATTAAAATCACCAGAAAAGCTTTTAGAAATCCTGATGCACAGGTCATGCTTAAGACCAATTAAAGCCCAATATGTAGGGCGTGGGACCCAGGCATAAATCTTGGATTTCTGTAACACCTTACTGAGAGACCCGAATGAACTTTTCGGCCAACCCAATATTTATTAAAGCTCCCAGATAATTCTGTTGTGCAGCCAGCAGTGTGAATCACTGCTCTATAGGCAAAAACCTAATTCAAATATCTTTC